AGTCTAGCACAGTGATGCTTTTTTTGTGGAGTTGTGTGTAGCGAACATGCCAATACACACACACACACACACACACACACACACACACACACACACACACACACACACACACACACACACACAGATTGCTCCCTGAAGGTGTGGGGCTGGGTGGGGGACAAAATTGTGTGTTGTATGTGTGTGTGTGTGTGGAGAGAGAGAGAGAGAGAGAGAGAGAGAGAGAGAGAGAGAGAGAGGTGTACCAATTCACCCACAGGGCAGGTACGATGACGGAAGTTTCCTCTCTTCTTTTTCCTTTTTCCTTTTAATTGTTGTTTTAAATGTTTTTACATTTTTGAATTTTTGAATTTTTGTTGTTGTTGTTGTTATTGCCATGCATGCACAGATGAGCCGAACGATGGGACTGGTCTTCAATCCAGAAGCGATCGAACTTTTCACCGTGAACAAAATGTTTGTTGCGTATACTTGGTGCAAGGCAAGGGGAGTCGAAAAACCCCAAGCAAAGCTGAGTGCGATGATGAAAATGCTCGGATTTAGTCCAGATCCTGTCTTGTTCGACATCATTGAGCGCACCGGGGACATTATTGAAGTCGAATCGCGATAGTTGGAGTAGTCGGCTGATAGACTGACGACGGAAGACTGAAGGTTGAAGACCCTACGTGAGTAGCAGTACTCACAATTTCGCTTTTTTCAAGAATGTATTGGGCTGCAATTGCGACCAGATTGCGTCCCGAAAGTTCTAGTGTGAGTATGCTCTAAACGAGTGTCAAAACCGACGGGCCTAGCTCAGTCGGTACACGCATGAATTGTAGAAGTACAGACCCGAGTTCGAATCCAGACGAGTGACATTCAATAATTATGAATTGCCTGGGGCCAGTCAGTTCGATGATGATATCGGAAAGCTGTCGGGCTTCAAAAAAAAAAAAAAAAAAAAAAAAAGGAGGGTCAAAATGGTAGTGATAATAGATTTAGACAGGCAGCAGGTGGTGCGCTACGCTGGGAATGATGCTGCATTCCCGCATATATCCTTTTTGGGAAATCGACATGCTATTTGAGTGTTTGTGTGTGTGCTATTCTATTCCAGTGGCAATGCTATTATTGATAGACAAACGATGGATATCTATCGTAGATGTAAAAAAAAAGTGGTATTCATTGGCAAAGCAGAGATGTATATTCCAGTGGGAATGCTATTCCATAGCCATCTGAATGCTATTCTATTGCCGCACGAAAGCTATTTCATTGTCGTCGTTATGCTATTCCATCTGAATGCTATTCTATTGCCGCAGGAATGCTATTTCATTGTCGTCGGTATGCTATTCCATAGCCGTCTGAATGCTATTCCTATTTGTGTACAGAGATGCAGAATAGGAAAGCTGTGAATATGAGCATTGTTTTCAAACTAATGGATCTGTATTGTAAATGTGCTACCTTTGCAATTCCTCTTCTTCTTCTTCTTCCTCCTCCTCCTCCTCCTTCTAGGCAAAGCAGTATGCTGTTCTATTCTAGGAAACATCGAATAACATTGGGAGGGTATTGAGGTCCCACTAGCAAAAAGTGTCTACTTCTTCTTCTTCTTCCTTCTTTTCTCCCTCTTCTTCTTCTTCTTCTTCTTCTTCTTCTTCTTCTTCTTCTTCTTCCAGTATTTTGTTCAGGTTAGGAAACATTTAAAAACAGAAAAGTATGGTTACGTTACGTGACGACTCTTTTTGGTTCGAGCTGTGGATGCGATTGTGGTCAGATACATCCGGGGCGTGCAGTAAATGTGGCCAGATGCGGCGAAAAAAACTCCCAAGTGTGAGAATGCTATGAGAGGGTGGAATGTTGGGGACTCGCTTCGTACAAATCTGGCCACTCGGGCCCACTGATATGACGGAGTTCACGTTTGGACGCAGTTTATGTGAGCCTGGCCAGTTCCCACCGGTGCTGTGTTTGTGTTATGTGAGCACGAACCTGGCCATACTGTATGACTGGGTTCATGCTGTCCAAGCACAAAAATAACACAACAGTGGGGCCTGGCCCTAAGTTTCCCAGCAGGTGCAGCTCCCGAAAGGAATCGAATGGAGCTTTGCTTTTGTTTTGTTATTTTAATTTATTTATTAAAACAAAAAGGAAAGAAAAAGCATTGGGAGGGTATTGAGTGAGTTGCTTCGATCCCATCCGCAGGGTTGAGGTCCCACTAGCAAAGAGGATTGGATTGAACGCCCGAATCCGGACGCGTTTGTGGAAAGGTGTAGAAATTTACTAGAAAATCAAGATTGAAGTTCATTGAACTAAAAAAAAAAAAAAAAGTTCATTGAACTGCTTTTCTGCTCCCCACCAATAGACCGGAGCACCCAGGTCTCCTGCTAGGAGGAGGTCGATGTAGTCGATGTAGAGTGCACGGCATCAGCAAGGGACTAGCCCTGCAATCGATGTTATCGCAAGCTCCCAAGCAAACCATTTATCAACACCACAGATTCGAGACAGTCCTCATGACTTCTCACACTGGCAATCGTTAGCATCCGACTTCAGAAAGGCAATGCGAGAGAGAGAGAGAGAGAGAGAGAGAGAGAGAGAGAGAGAGAGAGAGAGAGAGAGAGAGAGAGAGAGAGAGAGAGAGAGAGAGAGAAAGNGAGAGAGAGAGAGAGAGAGAGAGAGAGAGAGAGAGAGAGAGAGAGAGAGAGAGAGAGAGAGAGAGAGAGAGAAAGTAGAGACACGATGGTGAAAATAGCGCTTCACGCTTCCAATAATGAACGGGGAGTGAAAAACCATGGAAGCAACCGGCGTTCTCCCGACCGGTTTCGACCTCATCGCCGAGCTGAGGTCATCATCAGGGGAGTGAGGAAGCGCGTAGGAGGGGGTGCTCTTATCATCTCTCCCGGCAAAGACATCGAGATATTTCGACAACAACAAAAAAAAAAAAAGAAAAAGAAAAAAGAGAAGAACTGCTGTTCTGCATCTCTGCTTAAAACACGTCCACATTCAGGGCTTAATCCAATCCTCTTTGCTACTGGGACCTTGGCCCAGGTGAAAACTGAGGCCTCTGCTGATGAGAGCTCCGGAGTACGGCGAATTCTGGGTCCATGCCCTTTTCAGGCCGCAAACTTTCCCAAGTCTAGAAATGACCAAAAGTGGACCTGAAAAGGGCATGGGGGCATGGGTCGAAAGTGGGCCTGAAAAGGGCATGTGGGTATGGGCCAAAAGTGGGCCTCCATGGGCCCACTATCTGCAATACTTTCCAAGCCTAGAAATGACCAAAAGCGGGCCTGCAACGGGCGTGGACCAAAAGTGGGCCTGAAAAGGGCATGGACCCAAAGTGGGCCTGCAAAGGGCATGGACCAAATTTAAAGCGGGCCTGAAAAGGGCATGGACCAAATTTAAAGCGGGCCTGAAAAGGGCATGCATAGATTCGATATTATCAGTAGATTGTGTCTTTTCTTTTTGTCTTTTTGGAAGAGGGGCGGTGCAATGCCGCATCCAGCGGGCCTCACCACATGCACAAAGGACAAAAAATATGACTGAATCCTCCTGTAGAACATGGCTTTTTTCTTCTTTTTAGGGCCTCGCCGCACTGTTGCAATGAAAAATGTTCACACGCATGTTCCCACAGAGAGTGGCAAGATGCATCCTTTCCTATGAATAGAAACAGATGCATCTGGCCACTTTTTGGGGAAGATGCACTCGTGCTTTTTTCGTTTCGACAGTGGTGTGGCAAGGCCCTTGCATAGTTTCGTTATCCGCTTTCAGTAGATTCTGTCTTTTTCGAAGAGGGGCACCGCAGCCAGGGTTACAAAGGACAAAAAACATATGACTGACTTCTCCTGTATAACATGGAAAGATACATTGCCTTTTTTTTTTTTTTTTTGGTGCATGTGGACAGTAGAGGAGTGACGGCCATAGTCCTCTTCTGCAGACTGAGGGAATACTCACGCGAGCGAGGACCTAAAGTCTCATTTTTTTGTGGCATTTGGTACCGCGAATTTGAGACTTGAGGTACCCGTGTGGTCACACGGGTGGGGACTCTGTGCAGAAAGGACAGAGTCACGACCCACCCAGTTGTTTGAGGAAATTCACAGCATCAACATGTTACAACATGACAACTCTGGTGACGGCCCTTAGGCCTAACACGCAAAGAACACACGACGACTAAACATGTAGGCAGGAGGAAGAAGAAGAAGGAAGAAATAGAGGAAGAAGAAGAAGAAGAAGAAGAAGAAGAAGAAGAAGAAGAAGAAGAAGAAGAAGAAGAAATAGAGGAGGAAGAAGAAGAAGAAGAAGAAGAAGAAGAAGAAGAAGAAGAAGAAGAAAAGGAGAACTCGACACGTCAACAAAATCCCAAACGCGACTGATAGGTTAATATAATATCATGAAGTCCCACCTATCAAGTCCAACCCAGAATCAGGCGTCGTGCCCGTAGCTGTTGAAGGTTGAACTATCAGCGGCAAGACCCTACATGTTTCGTCCGCAGCCGTAGCCGGACTCATCAGGGGTTGTCGTCGTCACGCTATCGAGTGTTGTTTGATGTATAGACTTCTCAATTTATAAGACGAATGGACCCCGACACTCAAGAACCTGTCGAAGGACAACCCGCGTCGAACCTAGACGACATTCAGCACAAGACGATTTTAGGGAAGCCTAGAAAGTACCAGACCATCGGCGCCACCAAGCCCAGGCTCGCGGCCCAAAAATGTACTATGCTATCCAAGGTACCAAGTTTGAGGACGTAGAAGACTAAACCGAACAAAAGAATTTGAAAACAATTGCCCCATGCTATCCGAGGTACCAAGCTCAAGGTCGTAGAAGACCACACCGATAATCAGAATTTGAAAGCAATTGCCCCCTGTTACCACGGGTGAGCCCTGCCAGTATTTGAACCTTTTCCGATCACACGTTCGAGAACCTGAACAATTCAAAAAACTTCAACAAACATCTACTGCCGTGTCACCGATGTGGGAACAGCCGGTCCCATCCGGTCAAAGATTCAACCCAATCGCTCCACAATCCTCCAAATTTCAGATAGAAATTTGTACAACGATCCATCAAAAACTTCATCAGGAAAATCTCTCAGTCGCATTTTTCCACCTTTAATGCAAAAAGAAAGGCAGCCCCAGCAGAGGGCATACTCATAAATCTCTTTGCCTGATGCAAGAATGAACCCAGCACTGCAATTTTCTATTTCTTACCAACATAAGAGCAGTGATCCTGTAAACTCTTAAAACACACCCCCTTTGACAAAATCGTTCTCTGATTCTTAAGTCGGGCTGCGCATCTCACCCCCATTGGCCACCCCAGATTGATAATGTTACATGAACTTACATCCTAGAAAACCCCAGGAGTCAGCTCTGCTCGCACATTCCAACACCAGATTTGAATCATAACAATTCTCAAAATTGGCGATAATCCTTTCAGCCTTTTTCAACGACTGATCATCATCCGTCCGATATTTCACGAAAATCAACACGTCATCAATAAGTCGGATGCCCCGCACCAACGTACGATCTTTTCCAAGAGATGATAGGAAGGAGAACTTGGAGTAGACACAGAGCAGACATGCAATGGCAGGGCTCGACGGCTTCCCCATCGGCATCCCCAAGGACTGTTGCAAAATCATCCCCTTAGCTCGGTCAAAGGTATCTTCCAAGTCGAAAAGGACGAAGGCTCGAATAATGTCAAAACTCACGAACTCCTAACCCTCCTGCCTCTTCCCCTTCGTAAGTTTAGCCTCCTTTCCCCGTTTCTTCAGAAGTAGCTCTTTCACCTCTCTCTCCTTCCATAAATCAACGGCCCAATCAAGTGTTGTGAGAATAGATTCGTGTGGGAGATTACAAAACATCTCCTTCACATCAAATGCCCCCGTTAGTAACTTTTTTCCTTCGTTCACCTCCTTGTTGATATCATGGAGCTTCTATACCAACTGATCAGTACACTTTAAATTAAAGTGCATTCCATTAGGCATCCCCCACACCAACGCATTCACAGACCGAGAGACTTTTTGACATCCACGCACATTGCATTCAGAAAAGGAGGGGCGTATAGGTTGCCACTTCGTCACATACCTGTCTTTAGCCATTCCTAACAACAGTTCTTTTGTGTCCTCCATCTTATTCAATCCTATATTACAACAGAAAAGTTTATCCATCCCTTCATGGTACAACAACGGACAGCACACCAAAATATCGCCAGGGTTGTGGTCGATCGGAACACGAACCAGCCCATCCAACCTATTTAACCAAGTTAAAATCCCTTCTTCCGTATATTCAGAAGGTACACCGTCAACTCCAGTAAAGCAGTCGACAAGATCTCGTTGGTAGATCAGAGGAATGCAAAAGTCCAACTTTTGGAAGGAGGTAGAGATCTGGCGTCGTAGCCTACCAGCCACATCAGTTTTGGCAGATCTTACGATATTCCGATGGTTACGCAACCAGCCCGGGGTTCTTCCCACCCATTGATGCAAAATCTCACATGTCCGTCTTCTCTCGGCAGCTCAATAGGTAACTTTGCACAAACACAAATGGAGTTAACATCTCTAGCAGCATCTCGAAAATTGAAAATCCAATCCCCCATGCTTTTGTTCTTTAACCAAACCACCCTCATTTGTCTAACCACCATCCACTTCCATTCCTCGTCAACATCTGCTTTCATGATGGCGAGGGAACGTGCAGATCTGATACCGGGTTCATTCGTCTAACCACCATCCGCTTTCATTCCTCGTCAACATCTGCTTTCATGATGGCGAGGGAACATGCAGATCTGATACTGGGTTTACTCAGTGCCTCATCATACGTGACTCTTATGGTGAGACGTAGTCTAACATTACACCCAAACCTTTTCTTGATGACTCCTGAAAGAATTACCCTAAAAAGGTACTGACTCCGCTTCTCTGAAAAACTACGGATAGCAGAGAAAACCCGGACCAGCAGCGGAAACTCCCACGATGAGAGTTCCCGACGGGAAGATGGATCAGACAGAAAGCCAGCCAGAGCTGGCTTCAAAATGAGCGAACGAGATGCAAACGGCACAATAACAGTAACCAATACAAATATTCCTGGTCTAAACAACCCCTTCCATTTTTTTCAAAATCTCAATGGAATTCTGGTTACGAATCACAGAGGAGTCAAATTTCCTCTTAACAACCTTCCAATTCTTCGCAAACCGCTTTCCCCCCCGTACATGCAATCCCAACAAACGTGATATTCCTCTCCACGCAATGATCCAGAACAATCGAAAAACAAAAGGAAGTCAACCCTATAGTCGAATGAAAAACAAGATGACAAGTAGGTGATTTCAGCGGATCACTCGCTCTCTTGCCATAGCCCGTTCTCCGTCGTTCCTCCTTACCAGGTCTCTTCCGCTTACCTTTGCGTTTTTTGTCCCGACAGTTCAAATAAGGGCTGAGAACCCCGATCATGTACTTCTCGAGACACCGAACGTCCTTCAACTCACACTAAAAAAATGAATCGCAATATATTGTCCAACATTACATCGTCTCAGCCAATAATATAGCCGATGGTTCTGTTTTCCTTCTTCCACGATTTTCAGGCATATAGCACGATACACATGCTCGTTCTATCTGATCGGCAAGGATCTAGTGGCAGACCCTACATACATGTGCTGTGACCATGGGGAAAGTAGAACGTAGACTAGTGGTCCATCACACGTTTCCAAATCAACTCCATCAATTATCACTTTGAAAACATACTCCTTCAATTTCATAGCCTAAGGTATCTGATCGCGGAGAATGAGACCAATCACTATAGATCGAAAGAAAGAATTAAACGAACGATCACAGAGAAAGAAAGAAGCATTAGAGAGGAGTTCAATAAATCAGAGGAAGAAGACAAAAGGCCCAAATAAGAAGGACAAAAATCAAGTCCACGACACTCGCATCTGCACTAACAGCCATTTCGTCAAAACGGACATATTATATTTTTTGAACGAAATCAAAACCGACTTTTTTTGCCAAAATTCGGTCGGAATTTTTTGCTCCTGGGGGTCCGGCGTTCCCAAAACGCCGGATCAGGGGAAATCAGAGGAAGAAGACAAAAGGCCCAAATAAGAAGGACAAGAATCAAGTCCACGACACTCGCATCTGCACTAACAGCCATTTCGTCAAAACGGACATATTATATTTTTTGAACGAAATCAAAATTGACTTTTTTTGCTAAAATCCGGTCGGAATTTTTTGCTCCTGGGGGTCCGACGTTCCCAAAACGCTGGACCCCCCTGGTCTATGGTTGAGACCAGATACAAAAAAAAAAAAAAAAAAAAAGTATCTGGTCT